TAAAATACGCTTTTGTAATTAAGTTTCGCGCAAAAAATCATCGGCAAAATAAATAAAACCTTCAATTAGTCATGGTTTTAATTCAATTTATGAATTAAATATAAATTTAAATTCAAATTTAAATTTTGAATTTTTTGAAAATTTTAAAATTTGTTGCAGTTTTCTTATATTAAACAAGGAAATTGGTTCTAATTTATCAATTTTAATTTAATTAAGTTCCAAAACTACTAAAAATAGCAATATTTTGAACTTAATTGGTTATGTTATATGCATTGCACCAGTGCTGGTCGTGTATTGTGTTGTCATTTTATAGTTTAAATATTAAAATACTCTTTTGTAATTAAGTTTTGCGCAAAAAATCATCGGCAAAATTAATAAAACTTTCAATTAATCATGGTTTTAATTCAATTTAAGAATTCATATTGAATTTAATTTCAAATTTAAATTTTTAATTTTTTAAAAATTTTAAAATTTGTTTTAGTTTTCTTACATAAACAAGGAAATTGGTTCTAATTTATCAATTTCAATTTTAAATAAGTTCCAAAACTACTAAAAATAGCATTATTTTGAACTTAATTGGTTATGTTTTATGCATTGTACCAGTGCTGGTCGTATATTGTGTTTTCGTTTTATAGTTTAAATATTAAAATACGCTTTTGTAATTAAGTTTTGCGCAAAAAATCATCGGCAAAATAAATAAAACCTTCAATTAATCATGGTTTTAATTCAATTTATGAATTAAATTTAAATTTAAATTCAAATTTAATTTTGAATTTTTTGAAAATTTTAAAATTTGTTATAGTTTTCTTACATTAAACAAGGGAAATTGGTTCTAATTTATCAATTTTAAATTTAATTAAGTTCCAAAACTACTAAAAATAGCAATATTTTGAACTTAATTGGTTATGTTATATGCATTGCACCAGTGCTGGTCGTGTATTGTGTTGTCATTTTATAGTTTAAATATTAAAATACTCTTTTGTAATTAAGTTTTGCGCAAAAAATCATCGGCAAAATTAATAAAACCTTCAATTAATCATGGTTTTAATTCAATTTAAGAATTAATATTGAATTTAATTTCAAATTTAAATTTTTAATTTTTTAAAAATTTTAAAATTTGTTTTAGTCATCATATATAAAACAAGGAAATTGGTTCTAATTTATCAATTTCAATTTTAAATAAGTTCCAAAACTACTAAAAATAGCATTATTTTGAACTTAATTGGTTATGTTATATGCATTGCACCAGTGCTGGTCGTGTATTGTGTTGTCATTTTATAGTTTAAATATTAAAATACGCTTTTGTAATTAGGTTTTGCGCAAATATTCATCAGCAAAATTAATAAAACTTTCAATTAATCATGGTTTTAATTCAATTTAAGAATTCATATACAATTTAAATTCAAATTTAAATTTTAATTATTTAAAAATTTTAAAATTTGTTACAGTTTTCTTGCATTAAACAGGGAATATGGTTTTAAATTATCAATTTTAATTTTAATTAAGTTCCAAAACTACTAAAAATAGCATTATTTTGAACTTAATTGGTTATGTTATATGCATTGCACCAGTGCTGGTCGTGTATTGTGTTGTCATTTTATAGTTTAAATATTAAAATACGCTTCTGTAATTAAGTTTTGCCAAAAAATCATCGGCAAAATAAATATAACTTTCGACTAACTATGGTTTTAATTCAATTTATTAATTAAATTTAAATTCAAATTTAAGTTTTGAATTTTTTGAAAATTTTAAAATTTGTTATAGTTTTCTTACATTAAACAGGGAAAATGGTTTCAAATTATCAATTTTAATTTTAATTAAGTTCCAAAACTACTAAAAATAGCATTATTTTGAACTTAATTGGTTATGTTATATGCATTGCACCAGTGCTGGTCGTGTATTGTGTTGTCATTTTATAGTTTAAATATTAAAATGCGCTTTTGTAATTAAGTTTTGCGCAAAAAATCATCGGCAAAATAAATAAAACCTTCAATTAATCATGGTTTTAATTCAATTTATGAATTAAATTTAAATTTAAATTTTGAATTTTTTGAAAATTTTAAAATTTGTTATTGTTTTCTTACATTAAACAGGGAAAATGGTTTTAAATTATTAATTTTAATTAAGTTCTAAAAACCACTAAAAATAGCATTATTTTGAACCTAATTGGTTATGTTTTATGCATTGTACCAGTGCTGGTCGTATATTGTGTTTTCGTTTTATAGTTTAAATATTAAAATACGCTTTTGTAATTAAGTTTCGCGCAAAAAATCATCGGCAAAATAAATAAAACCTTCAATTAGTCATGGTTTTAATTCAATTTATGAATTAAATTTAAATTTAAATTCAAATTTAAATTTTGAATTTTTGAAAATTTTAAAATTTGTTGCAGTTATCTTATATTAAACAAGGAAATTGGTTCTAATTTATCAATTTTAAATTTAATTAAGTTCCAAAACTACTAAAAATAGCAATATTTTGAACTTAATTGGTTATGTTATATGCATTGCACCAGTGCTGGTCGTGTATTGTGTTGTCATTTTATAGTTTAAATATTAAAATACGCTTTTGTAATTAAGTTTCGCGCAAAAATCATCGCAAAATTAATAAAACTTTCAATTAATCATGGTTTTAATTCAATTTAAGAATTAATATTGAATTTAAATTCAAATTTAAATTTTTAATTTTTTAAAAATTTTGAAATTTGTTATAGTTTTCTTGCATTAAACAGGGAAAATGGTTTTAAATTATCAGTTTTAATTTTAATTAAGTTCCAAAACTACTAAAAATAGCATTATTTTGAACTTAATTGGTTATGTTATATGCATTGCACCAGTGCTGGTCGTATATTGTGTTTTCATTTTATAGTTTAAATATTAAAATACTCTTTTGTAATTATGTTTTGCGCAAAAAATCATCGGCAAAATTAATAAAACCTTCAATTAATCATGGTTTTAATTCAATTTAAGAATTCATATTGAATTTAAATTCAAATTTAAATTTTAATTTTTTAAAAATTTTAAAATTTGTTACAGTTTTCTTGCATTAAACAGGGAAAATGGTTTTAAATTATCAATTTTAATTTTAATTAAGTTCTAAAAACCACTAAAAATAGCATTATTTTGAACCTAATTGGTTATGTTTTATGCATTGTACCAGTGCTGGTCGTATATTGTGTTGTCATTTTATAGTTTAAATATTAAAATACGCTTCTGTAATTAAGTTTTGCCAAAAAATCATCGGCAAAATAAATATAACTTTCGACTAACTATGGTTTTAATTCAATTTATTAATTAAATTTAAATTTAAATTCAAATTTAAGTTTTGAATTTTTTGAAAATTTTAAAATTTGTTATAGTTTTCTTACATTAAACAGGGAAAATGGTTTCAAATTATCAATTTTAATTTTAATTAAGTTCCAAAACTACTAAAAATAGCATTATTTTGAACTTAATTGGTTATGTTATGTGCATTGCACCAGTGCTGGTCGTGTATTGTGTTGTCATTTTATAGTTTAAATATTAAAATACGCTTTTGTAATTAAGTTTTGCGCAAAAATTCATTGGCAAATTAGATAAAACTTTCAATTAATCATGGTTTTAAATCAATTTAAGAATTAAAATAATATTTTATTTCAATTTTAAATTTTGATTTTTTTAAAAATTTTAAAATTTGTAATAGTTTTGTTACATTAAACAAGGAAATTGGTTCTAAATTATCAATTTTAACTTTAATTAAGTGCCAAAAATAGCAATATTATGAACTTAATTGAATATTTTATATGCATTGTTTAAACATTGGAAAAGCTAATCAGTAAACCTTTCCACTTGCTATGCTTTTCATATTGCTTAACCCGTACAAAAGGGGTTAGTCGATAGAAAAGATATTAGCTCTATCTATACTGAGACAGTTGAGTGTTGGTCAGAGAGAAGAGAAGAAACAGTAAGGATTTAAAAAAAAAATAAGATTTAGCAAGAGAAATTAATAGAACTAGGAAAGACAAAAATATCTACATTATGGTGGATAACCTTGATATTCTATCATAATTGTATTGTTAATTATAAAGCATACAGAGATGGGCGTGTTCTCATTGATTTCTGTCAGTAGGGATAAGAGTAATGTTAACATAATACTTGGGTAAAATTTTGATCTGAGATGAGATCTCTTTTTTGTACTTATCAATACAACGATAAAAATTTTTTTTCCTGTATATATATATGTATACATATAACTTTTACATTCTACAAGAATAAAGTTGGGCAGTAGCAATCCCATGATCATGCCCTTCTCTTTTGTGATTTTATTTGCGCATATTCTTCTTTTCATTCTTATTATTTTTCTTGTACAATTTGGCTTGATTCAAAGGATCTCCCATTTTTTTTTTTTTAATGTCTTTATTGCGAACTAATAAGTATTTTTTTTCAATATCTTTATTGCGAACTAATAAGTATTTTTTTTAATATCTTTATTGCAAACTAATAAGTACTTTTTTTTTAATGACTTTATATTTTCCAGTTGAACAAAGGAATCAAAAATCTTTAGTTAGAAGCGATAATGGAAAAAATGGTGGAGGAAAAAAACAGATTTGAGATGTTGTTTACGAGTACAAAATCAAAGCTTAATGGTTTGCGAGAAGTGATAACAACTCAGTTTTCTGAAAACAACAATTGTTTCTCAAGTTTAATGCAGGTAAATCTTATCTAAAGTCTTGTATAAGTTTTGTTAATCTAGAATTTCTAAAACAAATGGACAGATAAGCCTATATTTTGTGACAGAGTTTATCAAAACAAAGTCTGAAGAAAATCAGAACTGTGCCTTCCTGTTAAAAATGCTACGTTATGTAAAAAATCTTCAGGAAGTAAATTTGAATGTTGAATATCGTTTTATTTACAATAGTACATTCATCATCATATTGTCTATAGATCGGATTTCAGAAATTGAATGAGAAATGGTCAAAGGGTTTGGATGAAATGCAAAAAATGGCGAGTAAAATGAAAATAATGCATGAGTATACAGAGAAAAACTTTAAAAGCTTGAGCGTATTATTGGATTGCTTGCATGACCGAGAAATTAAACAGTTGGAAAATAATGAAAGAGAAGGAGATACTTTCAAGAAAATATGTGAACATTGTGAAGAAGTAATGCAGGTTTGCTTCTTCTTTCGAGAAATTTTCATTGTTTTATGGAGTTTCAAAACTGTTAAATAATGTTAAGATTGTTTTTTAAGACTAATTTTTGTCAATTTTAGGAGCTAAAAAGGACGGCTCAGCATTTTCGAATCAATGAGGAAGATATAAGATATCAAAGCTCAACTTTGTTTGAGAATTTGGATTTTGGAAGTGAAATTACTGCTGCAATAATTCGTGCTGCTGAAAATTTAACAAAGGAAAACGATGAACTGAAAAATGAAAATGCAGAACTCAGGAATACGATTTTTATATTGGAAAAAGAAAACATAGATTTAAAAGAGGTAATACTTTGGATTGTAAATCCGTACATATTACAATGATAATTTCAAGCAATTCCTCTGGTGACATTATCAGATAACACTATAGAAATACTGGGTACATTGTTAGTTTTAATTTCTTTGAAAATTTTTTATAGATGAGAAAAATGTCAATTGTACAAGAGAAAAAATTTGAAGAGGTAGAACACAGATTAGACCGTTTGCGAGAAGAAAGTGAACGATTAATAAAAGCATGCTATGATGAGGATGAGGAAGTTGATGATCTTAAAAATCAGATATCAGAATGGTTGAATACAAATCACTAACTTTAAGCTGATATGATTTGCTTTAGCAATAAGAAAGTGGAAATTTTTCGCTTTTAGCTTTTGCTTTGCCCATTTTTTTTTATTTGCTTTTCTACACCAGAAATATCATGTAGGAATGAACTGCATTGAACCCCAGCAATTGGAATCACGTAAAAAAAAAATAGTTTTACGTTACTTTTATGTCAGATAAGGGTTGGAATAATGTTTGCTTACATGATATATAATTTGAAATAGTTTTACATTTCCGGTGTTCAATTAAGATAAGTTTTTGTATTATGAATTATTAAATTTTATTTGATACTTTTTGTAAATTATTTGAAGGTTCGCGAGATTATTTCGAATTAGATTTTAATTTGTAAAAATTTTTTTGTGCATTCTTTGATACATAGATTTATTTATTGGGATTTTATATTTGCTTCTTTGTAAATAAATGTAATTTTTCTTGCTTAATTCAGCTTTCAAACAATAAAAATCATAAAACTTGACGCATTTTCATTGTTATTATTCTGTGGTAGCAAAAGCTTAATGTTTGGCAACGAAGCGTCTAATATAAAAAAAAAAAAAAAAAACGTACTGTTTTTTGCTGTTCAAATCAATAAAATTAGAACTAAAAATCGGTAAAATGTATTAATATTAGTTGCAAATCGAAAAAATCAAATTAAGTGAAATAAAAAATGAAATTAGAATAAGAAAAAAAGTGGTAATTATTAGAATAAGAGAAGTTATAATAAGGAGACTGTATAGAAAAATTTTTAATTCATTAGTTACAATTATAAAACATATATGTAAGCAGCAATTCAAGTAACAAAGCCGCAAAAATTTTTCCTTATTTATTAGATTATATTTTGCGTCACTTTACGTGTCGTTTTATCACTTCATTTAAATGCATGAAGCAGTTTCTCTGTTATTTATTCAAAGTGATATGTTTGCGTTATTCACTTTGCATAATATTTCGATTCAACAATTCCATGTTTTATTCTTAGCTATCTTTATTGCACTTTCATTTTCTTTTTGTTTTTTTTTTTTTTTTTCCTCTGCTTCATAGTTTGTTTCATTTTCATGTCGAATCTGTTTAATATTATATAATTTTTTGTAATAAGAAAAAATTGTGTTTTTACTGCTACATCGTTATAATACATCCAAATGAAATTGAATGCAAAAAAGATTTCCTCAAATAGTCACTATTTTTTGATTTCATGGTGATACACAAATGGTCACATTTTCGAATTGTAACCTAAATTGTAACCTTTTCAAAATGTAACCTTAACAGTAAATATTTCTTGCAGCCGCACTTGCACTTGCAGTTGCAGTTGCATTGCAAGTACAATTGCATACCTGCTTGCACATACAAATATTTTAATTTAATTGATCCAATGATTGCTAATATCACTTGTCATATTATCATTTGATCAGCATTTCAAAATGATAATTGCATAAGATTTATTGTTAACAGTAAATTAGTAAAACTATGTTACCAGCATGGTGAAAGATCACGTTTGATGATGAGAAAAAGATCAGATATGTCCAAGAAAAAATTTTGTTAATGAATTTTTTGAGTTTATCACCAGTCCAAAAATTTTATGAGTTTATTACCACGTCACTCTTTAATTAATTCCATTGCTTTAATAAGAAAAAAGTGATCAACTGGGAAATTTGAACAATTTGCAGCACATAAATGATAAGTAGAATTAGTTTTTATGTTAAAATGAAATTGCAAATAATGAAGTTTTTTTTTTTTTTTTTTTTTTTTTGTATATTTTTATGCAAAAAATAAATTAATAAAAATTGTTGCATGGAAAAAGATTGTGGCCAAGCAGAAGGTGAAAGTAATCTGACATCTGTTCTATTTTAATTTTGTGACTTTATTGATATATTAAAACGTTTTCAAAAAAATTCTTGTCTTATTAATAAAAATTGATATTAATTCAAAGATTTGGGAAACTTTTATTTTATGAATTAATTTCTTATAAAAAAGAAAAAAACAAACAACAACAATAACTTCAGATGGGTCAAAAACAAACTATTGGGAAAGGAAGAGGAAAAGAAGAAAGTTAACCATTGAAGATTATTCTCCAACTTTCCTATTACGGAGAACTTTACAAGAGATCAATTTTTTCTATTGTTTTTTCAAAAAAAAAATTAAATCGGCCAACAAAACTCATTTTTCCAAAATGAAGTTATTTTTTTTACCTAAATTTTACACCATTTTATTTTGTTACTAAAGCCGATTTTGAAGTAATACACTATTCAAAATGTTGTAGGTGCATACCTCAACAATCTGAAAAAATTTCGTAGGTGAAATTTCACATTCTGCTCGGTCAGTCAGCTCTATGAGTAATTGATACATTTTTTTAAACTTTTTCTAATTGATACATCTAGAAAATTTGATCATAGTTGTTATCCATGCAAAATTTCAGGATATGAAAATTTAATAAGTGAAAAAGTAAAGCAAATATTTCATAAATAAATTAGAACGTTCCCGCGGGTAACAATTCGAAAATGTGATCATTTGTGCATCACCATAAAATTAAATTTCTATAAAAATAATGACTATTTGAGGAAATTTTTTTTACATTCAATTTCATTTGGATGTATTATAACGATGTAGCAGTAAAATCACAACTTTTTCTGACAAAAAATTATATAATATTAAACAGATTCGATATGAAAATGGAAGAAAGTATGTAGCAAAGGAAAAAATAAAAAGAAAATGAAACGAAGATTGCTAAGAATAAAACATGGAATTGTTGAATCGAAATTATGCTAAAGTGAATAATGCAAATATATCATTTTGAATAAATAACAGAGAAACTGCTTCATGCACTTTTAAATGAAACGATGTGCGACACGTAAAGTGACGTAAAATATAATCTAATTCAAAACATCCATGTGAATCAATCAATCAACATATGTCAAATAAATTTGTGTTTATGGTAATATAAACTCTGGCCAAAATTATTAAACAATTCCTGAAACTTGTTCCTGAAATTTCCTAAAAAGACAAAGGAAGATCTGATCAAAAGGAAGACAAAACGATAAATCAAGTACCAAAGTAATATTCTCATTAATATTCTCAATATGAAACTATCTAGCCATTAGATATATCGCACCTTCAGCATAAGAAAGCTATGTCAGCGAAAATTATTAGAAAATAAATTTAGAATAATTCCGACCATTTTTAATATTCGGAAATCTTCAATTAGTATCTATGTGCGCACTTTCTGGAAATCCTATACTACAAACAAAATGACACTGCCAGAATATGGAAAAAAAGGAAGAGATATGACCAATGAGCACTATATTCGGAATAAATTCATATAAACATGAAAGCAAAGTAGCTAACAGAAAAAAAAAAAAAAAAAAAACAATTATAAATGAACACTAACATAAAAAAAAAAAATCGAAATCAAAATGCATAAATTAGCATTTACAATATTTTCTGTATAAAAAAAAGAAAAAATTTCCACCAATAAGAGCAATGATAGTATCATTTTGTTTTTTATAATATAAAGCAGTAAACAGCAAATTTTATCCTAAAAAAATCCCCGAAAAAAAAAAAAAAAAAACAATTATAAGTCATCGTCTGTAATCTCAAATCCTTCACTCTTGAACAGCAATGTCTTCTGAAACAAATTCATAGACTTAATGATATATGAATACTAATCTTAATTCTGTCCTCCCCCTCAAATTCACTTTAGCCTTTTACAAAAGCCCATATTAACATTCTAACTGTGATATGGCAGTAACATCATCTGAGTAGGGCTATTCGAAGAAATTTTTTATATTTCTTGAAATTTCAAACAAGTCCTTAACACACTATCACTGAACAAATGGATTAAAGAACAGAATAAAAAAAGAATAAAATATCTTAAAATAAAAAATACACCGAAATTGTGGTGAAAGCATCCAGTACACATTCATTTGAATCATTAGCAATTGATCCTAAATTATTAGAATGATGGTTCCAAATGAATGCTACCATTGTCGCATCGGCCATTTGTTAATGAGTCGTCATAATTTTCAATGATTTTGGTTCTTTCGACCTCTTTTGGCTGTACTGAAATTCTCAGTGCTTCATTCTTCATTGGTGCTGAATACTGAACAGCTCTCGAAATAACAGAAAATCTCATTGAACCATCTTTTTTTGCGGAGAATAAATTTTGAACATATCTTTTGTTGGATAATCATAGTCAATCAAGGCTACCAAACTAAATACAGGAAAATAGATGACTACACATCAACAGCAGCATTAACAAATAATAAAATCATTGAGTGTTATAACACATTAAAATTATGGCAATCAACTTAACGCTGCTTTATTGCTAATTAAGAGTAAAAGTAAAAAATTAAAAAGAAAAACTTTCTTTTAAACCATGAAATTGCACAAAATAAAGGGTGAAAAAAATATTATGTATCTGCATTAAAATTATTATTTATCACTACGAGAAACATTCGTTAAAAAAAAAAAAAAAAACCTTGAGAATTTTAAAAGCAATCGATTGAAGCAATAGAGAAAGCAAAATAGCTTGAAATCAATGTTTATCAATAAAACTGCAGCCCGATCTGTAAATGAAACATAAAATTGACAACTCTAGAAGCAATAGTTTTTATTCTATTAGAAAACAACATTTGACAGCGAAAACTTTTGAAAAAAAAGAAAAAGTAACATGGAGATGCATGATTACATTTTTCTCCTAACTTACTCAAACAAACTCTTATAAGTTAGAGAAACTGTTAACCAAAAAAATTGGAATTTTTTTGTGTTAGTTACAAATGAAGTAGGATGAGTGAAACGAAACCTGATTGGTATACAGAGTTATCCAGTGAAATATCCATTTCGATATTAGATATTTGAACCAAAAAAGCAAAACCGTTATTATCTTGCTCAGAAAATTTGCCATACATGAATTCTTGTTGCTCGAAACTCTGCACTTGAAATTTCTTTTATCGCTTTGTTAATAAATATTATTATTTCTGTAATAATGAGCACAAAGGCAAGTTGCAAGCACCTGTTTTATATTCCCTAGAGGAATTTTCCGATATTCCTTTATGCAAAAAATAGAACCAAACTTCCGTTGATTTTCAAATATTGTTTGAAACGTGTTAAAACCAAAGGCTATCTTTAAATTTTTAATATATTTTTTAATATAATATGTATGTTTTTTTAAATATATAAATTTTTAAAATATTTTTCACATACTGCATGATCTTTATGCATTAATATAACAATATAATGGACAAACTCTATCATTTCAAAATCTATTTTATCTCCATTAAACCTCAGAGCTAGCTTTTTGGTCCCGAAATCACTTTGAATTCAGTCAGATAGTTTTCTTGTAAAGACAGCTTATGTTTATTTCTTATCCCATCAAAAAAAAAAAAAAAAAAAAAAACGAACTATTTACCACAAATACCGATTATCCTCCAACTTGAAATAACTATTTTACATGTTTTTTGAGAAAAGCTTTTCAGAGAAAAAAAACAGAAAAAATTATGCTTCAAAGTGCTAAGGAAAACGAAGAGCAAATAATCTAACCTATTGTGAGAAAGTTTTCTAGAAAATTCCAAGAGAAGGGATACGAATGAATATGGATTGCCATTTCTTTCTCATAAAAACCAATCGATTGATAACCAAAATGAGATATTTCTTTGTTGACTTGTCTAATCCATTCGGAGTCATAAGCTGAGAGTCACCGTAGTCATTTATATTTATGAGAAAGTATAACAGTGCTATCAGCAGAACAGCGCATGATGAACATATCAGTGTTACCAACACGTATGTAGAATGGCCCTAAAGTGCTCCAAGCAAAAAGAAAGAAACAAAAAAAAAAAATGATTGGTGACGATTCTCGATAAAAATGAGACGTTGGTCATGGTCTCTTAATAGAAATATATGTAGAAATAACATTAACATAGTTCACACCGATATTTTTTGTTTCTGAAGCTGTACTGTTCTTTTGTGCAAAATTATAAAAGAGAATTTTTCTTTTTAAACTACAAAATGACAACACCATATATGACCAGCTCTGTGCAATGCATATGAAATAATCAATTAAGTTCAAAAAATAAACATTTTCTTAAATGAATTGCTATTTTAAGTAGTTTTTGCACTTAATTAAAATTAAATTTAATAACCTAGAACCAATTTCCTTCTTAATGTACAAAAACTATTACAAATTTTAAAATTTTTGAAAAATTCAAAATTTAAGCTTGAAATAAAATTTAATTTTAATTCTTAAATTGAATTAAAACCATGATTAATTGAAAGTTTTATTAATTTTGCTGATGAATTTTTGCGCAAAACTTAATTACAAAGGCGTATTTTAATATTTAAACTATAAAATAACCACACAATATACGACCAGCACTGGTGCAATGCATAAAAAATAACCAATTAGGTTCAAAATAATGCTATTTTTAGTGGTTTTTAGAACTTAATTAAAATTAAATTTGATAACCTAGAACCAATTTCCTTGTTTAAAGTGAGAAAACTAGTACAAAATTCAAAATTTTTAAAAAATCTTAAATTTAAATTTGAAATAACATTTAATTTTAATTCCTGAATTGAATTAAAACCATGATTAAATGAAAGTTTTATTTATTTTGCTGATTAATTTTTGCGCAAAAATTAATCACAAAAGCGTATTTTAATATTTAAACTATAAAATGACCAAACAATATATGACCAGCTCTGGTACAATGTCTTAAAATTTGTAATAGTTTTTGTACATTAAAAAAGGAAATTGGTTTTAAATTATCAATTTTAATTATGTTCCAAAACCACTAAAAAAAGCTTATTTTGAACTTAATTGACTATGTTATATGCATTGTACCAGTTCTGGTCCTATATTGTGTTGTCATTTTATAGTTTAAATATTAAAATACGCTTTTGTAACTAATTTTTGCGCAAAAATTCTTCAGCAAAACTAATAAAACTTTCAATTAATAATAGTTTGAATTCAACTTAAGAATTAAAATTAAATTTTATTTCAAATATAAATTTTGAATTTTTTAAAAATTCTAAATTTTGTAATAGTTTTTGTGCAGTAAACAAGAATTAAAATTCGTTCTAGATTATTAGTTTTAATTTTAAAATTAGTTCTAGATTAACTAAAATTTAAATTGTTTTATTAAATTTTAGTTAAGTGCTGAATCTGCAAAATATAGCAATTAGTTTAAAGAAAAATAGATATTTTTGATGTAGTTGATTATTTCATATGCATTGCACCAGATCTGGTCATTTTATGCTTTAAATATTAAAATACGGCTTTTAAATTATGTTTTCTTATAATAAAAATTAACAATATTAACACATGACTGCTATTTAAGAAAAAAACAATGTTTCGTGAGTATTTGTGTAAGATTAATAATTTAAAAGGAGTGAAAATGGATAAAGGTGATAGAATATTGAATATTCGTTTTTTTTTTTTTTTTTTTTCGTCATTTTGAATTCGTTTACTTCCAAGAGAAATGTAAACCTGAATAATGAAAATGATAAGTGATACATATGACAATTATGAATGTGAAAAATTTGGCTTTCACTGGAGTATTTGTTTAGAATTAGAAGTCAAAATTTTGAACTTTCAATTTAAAGAAATATATTAAATTAACGGTTTGCACATTTTAATCAAATATATGAACAGTAAAAGTTTAATAGATGAATTAAGTTAGATAAAATAAATTGAAAACGAAATTAGTCACTGATCATCTATCACCTTATCAATTATTGCTAATTGATATTAATTGTCGATCGATCTTCCTCAGTCTAGTCTAATTAAATAATTATTACTTTTAGTCATGAAATTGGAAAAATTATTTAAATTGTTAAGTCTGATAAAATGCATTTAACTAGACTAGAAGCAAAAACGAAGATGAAAGATCATTAAATGAAACATTTCAATTAATTCATATTTTTATGTCTTTTCTTTTTTTTTTTTTTTTTCTTAGATATATTACAATTCATTTAAATTTTGAAAGTATATCGAATACATATGAGATGTTGCTGACATTACTACGTTGCCATAGGTAACTATTTGTTCATTCGTAGCCAACAACATTTCCGCCAACATCGAATGGCCTATTTGCATTTTTTCATTTCGATTATTGAAGAAATTTATCCCATAAAACTTTGTTTCATCTCATTCTTTTCTCTTTTCTTTTTAATTTCTTTTTAGAAGGCAAAAATTTCAAACGTTCGCAATATTTTTCTGCTTGTAGTTATGTAGTTTTTAGGAATATTCATGATTATGTAGTCTGAAATTATTCATCACAAAAGTTATGTTCAAATTTGGTACCAAAAATATTTATAATTTAACAATTAAAAATGCCCCATAAATTTTCATACTTAATTTATCGGGAGAGTTCTATAGATAATTGATGAAAAATTGTTTATTTAAAAATATTTATTTAAAAAAAATATATATATATATATTTAACCACTTCTATCACTTATTTACTATCAAATTATTAAGGACTGTTATTTAAAAAAAAAAAATCTATAATTGATGAAATAATGATGAAAAATTTGACAAAAATTTGAACAACAAAATAGTTACCAAAAAATTGAATAATTAAGCATAAAGTTAAGTTATCAGCTATGCTTAATATAATTATTGCTAAATTTACAAAAAATAAACAAATGGTTTGCCATATTAAAAAATATTTGTATTCAAAGCGAATGCAACTAACTAAGCAATGGGAAATTGAAATATGCTAAAATAAATGAATTAGGGTATGCTTGCAATTCGTAATAGTATCATTAGTACAGCTAACAAATTATTTTGCTATCTGTTTGTTTGTTACTTTTCTGTTTGAAAAGTTTCAATAAGACTCCCAAATTCCATGCAATATTAAATAATTATAAATTTCCTCCTGCTTGAAAATTTTCAGAAGTTTGCTAATATATAAATAAATGTTTTATTCAAAGTTTAGCATTGCAATAGTTCACAAACAAACAAAAAAAAAAAAAAAAAATTTACAATATTTTCAACATATCTCTTTTTAGTCACTTTTTTATTTTCATTTTTTTTACAAAATAATAAAACTTTTAAAGCATATTGAGTTCCACTGTTAAATTTGGATTTTTTTTTTTTTTTTTGTGTTAATTAAATATTAAAATTTGATAATATTTCATCCATCTGTTTTCATTTGTATTTCCAAATTAATTATTTGAGAAAAAAATAGTTGGATAAAAAAAATTTTCATTTATTTGATAAAATGTCAGGGAAATAATATATCATAATTAGTAAATATATTACTGCCAATAAAAATATAAAAAATAGCTACGATAATCCCTTTGGAAATATTATTTTTATTCTTATTATTACTATTATTATTATTATTATTAATATTATTATTATTACTGTTATTGTTATTATTATTATTATTATTAATATTATTGTTATTAATATTATTATTATAGAAGTGCGCAATTATTTCAAATTTATGTACATAAAATATACTAAGTATGTCCGTATGAAATTTAAGAAATAATTATTTTGTTAATTTCATATTACATTTGTTATTGATCATTTCAACGTGAATTCCTATCATTTCTGCAATTCAACTATTAGAATTGTTATAAGCAATGAACAATTACAGGATAATTAATGATTATTTTAAATTACATAGAGAAAGAGGAAGTGAAAAAAAGGAAGAAAGAGACAGGAAATGAGAAGAGTTTGAGGGAATACTGATTTAGTGGAACGAATAGAAGAAAAATAAATGACATAGATGAATTGAAAAAAAAAAGTTTTTTTTTTTGAGTATAGAAAATCGTTATGAGGGAGGGAGTAACAGAGAGGAATAATGGGAGAAGGAGCCGGAAAAGAAGGACAACTGAGAAAGAGGATCAGTAGTCAGAACAATTAAGTTTGATGCATTTACAACTGATAGCATCGTTAACA